TGGCGGGAAGGGGCCCGCCTCGGGCAACCCCCGGCCGGGAAATGGCGGCGGCGGCGGCTGCCCACGGCTTCTCCTCGGGCGCAGCGGGGACCCCACCCCTCACCCGGCTGCGGAGGGCCGAGGTGGCACCGGCGCTTTACTGGCAGGGGAAGCTCAGGCCCCGCGGGAGCTCGGTGAGTGGCGGAGGGTGCTCCCAGCAGGTAACCGCTGCCCCGCCCTCCGCACCGGTTACCAGAGGAGTTAAGTTTTAGAAGGTTAAACGGGAGAGGCGTACAAGAAGCACTCGCTATTTTCCATATAACGGTGAGAAATAGGTATGCCATGGGAGTTGAGGGCAGGATGTGCTTGAAAATGAGATGTGTTCTACCTGTCACTTTTTTACCCTTTTAATCAATTTTATACCTTCATAATGGAAGAAACTACTTTTAGTAGCTATCAAACTGTCCTTTTCACTCTTACACTTTGTGTATCCCTTTGATGAATTTGCAGATACTACCTGAAGTACCTGCAATTTCCACGGGGAGATGCTGAAATATATTCACGTTGGATCAAAAACAAAAGACACAAGTATGGATCATACAGTATTTTTTCTTTTTACATTCATTATAAATAATGCGTAAGTTGATTCATCTTTCAGTTTTACATGTTGTAAGCGCAACATATTACACCGGAAGAAAACAAACTTCATTAAAAAAAATTGTTTTCATTTATACAGAAGTCATTTGTCATGAAATAACAACATCTGACACCAAACAGGAGACTTAACAGGTAAATGATGGAAAACCTGAGACACAGTGATGTCATTTGCTAAAAGTAAACAAAAGGATTTTACTCTTGATAGATCCAGACTGTTCCCTGCTCTACCTTACGTATAATCTGTCTAAAACCAAATATGTTACAATCTTTTTTTTTTCAATCAGAATTAAATTTTCCCTGTATTTAAAGTAGTAATTGGAGCATGTGCGACAAAGTATACTTTTAAATAATTCTAAATTGACAAGTAGCACTTCAACTGTGTGAATTTAGGACACATAAATTCGAGTTCTTTCCTCTTCCAAAACTCCCGAGATATCTGCGTGCCTTTATTTTCACAGTGATTCATAAAGCAAGAGTTGAAAACATTTAAAATATATTCTGGTTATAAAGTAGTTAAAGTCTTAAGTGGCAAGACATGTTGTATGAACAAGGCTTAGAAATTCAGTGACTTTTGACTGGTACAATACCACTAAATACTTTGGTATCTTTAAAATGCCTACACCGCATAGGAGACACAGTCATGCACAAAAGACCACTAATGCTTAATAACTTACACATTTATATGCTTATTTTCAGTAGCCTGGACTCTGTAAAACTAGCTGCTTATCTTCTGAGCTGACACAATGAACCAATAAGCCACATGACACCCGTTTGTAAGCAGCACTACCTTTCTCTGTGTTCCCTCCATTTGGGAAGGGATTGTCCTGAATTGTCCTGTAGCAACAAAACCAGTACAGTACAGGAAGGCTCTAGAATATGTCATTATAAAAGGCACTTCTGAGAATTAATTCACACAAGTATTCCAGTGGAGTTTTGTCTAAAAAATATTTACCAAACATTTCCCTCCTCCTCCTCCTGTGGTTATGTTAGGTTTTTGAAGCTGAATGAAAGTAGAACAAGGTAGGATAGGGTGAGAAAGGAAGAAGTAAAAGTCCCTTTTCTCAGTTTTTCCCTTCTGTTCCAATATCTGGGCTCCCTTTTTGTGCTCCAGAAATGTCTGTATGTTTGGTTTATAAAAGCCTGGAGATTATATATCAGAGAGTTATATACCAGGTTATAAACCAGAGTTTATAACTACCAGGAGATTAAAAGAATTAGTTAAGTAGTCTAGCCTTTAAAATTGAGTAATGTGAAATTAATTGCACAGAAAAAGTGAAGTTCCCTCTGTTCAGTGTTCAGACTTTGGTCACAGAGTGAGCATTGGAAGTAAACCTACATCAAGGTGTGAAGTAGTGTTAAAATATGCTAGCTAATAATATTTTTCCAAATACCCTTCTGATCCTCTGAACCTCATATTTACACTGTTTCCTGGAAGTATTTTGACACTTTGCTAATTTCCAGAGCGTAGGCACGGTTTTAGGGTGTGCTCAATTCTCATATTGCTAACAGACAGCCCTGGTACCCACACGCAGAGATTCATTATAACTGATATCACTTACTGATTAATATTAAAAGAGACAAGATCTTGCTACTTCACATTTTTTAAAACTCTGATTTATATCAATGCAATTTGTCAATCTGACACATTTCAGATTTGCAAAAAAATGTTTGCAGCCTCTGAAAAACATGATATGCAAATCCCTGAATTTGAGATTTAGAGAAATACCCAGTATAGGCATTTAAAACAGCATAGCAGTGAAATAATTGAAAAAGACTTTGTGATACTCCAACATGTTTTTCTTACATGATTGTATTTCCATTTCCACTGTATTGCCTGCATAAAGGAATGGAGGAGGAGGAGAGGAGGTCATACCCTCTATCTCTAGTTCAGTCCCTCAACCATTCGAAGTTGGTAAGTAACCACATACACAGAGACAGCATCCCCTACAGCCACATGCTAATCAGCAGTGAGTGAAAATCATCTTCCAGAGGTTACTCCACAGCTTGTAGGCAGTATTATCCCAGTTTCTGGGGGACTTTTGGCTCATTACAAATGCTGTCAGAATTGTCACCTTGCTAGCGGTCTCAGAGACAAAACATCTCGCTCTCTTCCTCTGCATCCTCAATTCATGGATATTTAAAGAGCTCCAGTTTCAAGTATTGCCAGTTTGGCCCCTTTCACCAGTTTTATTTACATTGTTTAAATGTGTCTCACTGGTCTGAGGGAGGCAAGGCAGTTGTAGGGCTTTTAGACTATTTGCAGTAATGGATTATTTACAAGCATCTGAGCATGCCAGCTCTTATCCAGCCGCTTCTGTGTCAGACCCATCCGAGTCTTTAAGGTGTTCCCAGAAAACTTCCATTTCCCCAGCCTCATGGGCTGATCAGATAGGAGGTACTGCCTGTGGTTACAAACCGTGATGCTCTTCGACCTTCATGGCTACAGCACTTCCATGTGTTGGTCTAGGAGTACTAAAGTAATACTCATACAAAGACAATTTGGTTTATCCTGCTTTTCCTAATGCATATTTATCTTCATCTACTGACATTAATATCCACATTTGTAATGTTGAAGGAAGCTAATTTAGGCTGTTATTCCCTGAGTTCTTCATATCCATGTTGAATATGTTTCTTCACAATTAATTACAAACAGATTCTGTACCAGGATCTATACAAAGGACAGGCCTTTCCAAACTATCACTCAGGTCAAACTGAACACTGCATTAATGGCAAAGGTCCATGTTTGTGAGGCCCAGTGACAGGATTTCACTGACGAAATCATTCCAGTCCCCCTCTTCATTCTTCTGCCAGTTGTTTAATAAACATACTCCACTGCTTTACTAAACTTACAAATTATATAAACAAACCTCAACATCTTCACTTCTGCTTAGTGACTCTTCCTTTGTTTAGTATAACTTATTTCCACACAAAAAAAAATTAAGGCCTCTACATTTTTTAAGTTGTCTGGCAGCACAGCTTAAAAAATAATTTAAAAAAAGGTAGTAGTCTTTATTTGCCAGCTGGGAAATTTCTTCAGATGAAATACCATTACACTTAGTTGGAAGCAGTAGTCTACATAATTTTAAGAAAACTTTTTTTCTGAGCTCTGCAGAGAAACAACCATGAAGAATAACCCAGAAGCCTAATGCATAAGGTGGAACATATTGCTTTACAGAAAACAGAATCAGTTTGCAGGACACAGACCATATCAGGGAAGTCTTGCTTTCAACACAATTATACTGACAGTGTTGAAGACTGATCTATCAATATTGCTAGGTTTGGACCATGAAGTATTTGAGAAAGCCCAAAATATCTGAAAGTTTTGAATTCAGCAAGTTTGCATTAGACCTTGGCTTCAACTGATTCAGTACAGTAGATTCAGAATTTATATTTTAAATTAAAACCAAAGTATCAAAATAAGTTAACCTAGAAGAACATGGGGGTTTTTTAGATAGTGAAGATTACTTTTAGGCAAAACTTAGCAGAAAAGCAGTTTGGGAATAAACAAAAGTTCTCTTTTGGCAGTGTCTGGTTTGGGATTTAGCTCTGTCCTCTCCTTGGAGGCACCTGTTAACTAAAATTCATCAATACAAAAAGGCAACACAGTGAAAAGCTGAAATATTAACATTTCAGTAAAGTGCATGGGACTGTGGCAGACTTAATGGCTTTGCTATAACCTTATCTCAGATGCTGAATTAAATGATGGGGATGCCAAGTTCTTGACTATTCTATTGAGGTTGGCAATTTTTTCTTCTAGTAAATAGTTTTTCCTTTCAGCAGTTTTCTGCCGCTGTTCTGTCATCTCCAAAGCCTTCAGCAGTTGTGCGTTCTCAACATAGAGATCCTTGACCATTGCATCTGCTTTAGTGTTCTTGGAAAGCTGAATTGTGGATAGAACATAATTACTCAGCAAAATAAAGAAAAAAATTTAAAAAAAAAGAACAGTGCTAGGACAGCATCCTGTCTTTACTCTTCAGGAAATTCCTTTTCCTCCTTTTCTAAGCAAATTTTCCGGTTAAGATACTTAGATAACATTTGATGTTTCTTTCCTGACTAAGTGCAACAGCATACCAAACAAGCATAGCTTTTAGGAAATTAATGAGGGGTAGATTCAGTCCCCAGTTTGGGGTTTTAGGAAGTTTGGGGCAGATATGCAGTACTTTAGCTCAGAAGCATTAAAAGAAAAATAAAAGCATCTTTAACTTCATTCTAAGCAAGAATGCCATGGCAGTTTTTACCCACTTAGCTGTTTACAGAAATAATGGGGACCATTTGAGGAAGAGAGTAAAAATGCTTACTTGTTCTTTCAGCTGATTTACTTTATCTTGGAGAAGCCTCTTCACAAGCCTTAGTTTTTGTTCAACATCCATCATACGTTCTTCCATCATTTTTAGAAGCTGCTCATGACCCCCCTGGAAAGCAACATTTATGTGAGAATCGGTTAATAAAAATCAATTCACATTCTCCAGTCTCTTTTTTTTTTTTTTTCTAGTTTATGCTTAAGAATGTAGTTGGCACTCCACATTTGCATCTGTTCTAAAGAGTTGACTAAATTAATAAACCATCCATGCAAGCAAAATGTTATGGCAACACTTAAGGGACACTCACAGCATTGAACTAGTTTTCCAAGTCTAAGTTACATTTGTGATTTTTTTTTTAGAACTGGTAAATTGACATAAAATTCTGTCTTGACTGTGATAGTCAGATCTGGATAGTTTCCTTTTCCTGTTCTTAGGTGCTGCCATATTTCTGTTGAATGTAGGAAACAAAATACCAATTAAAATCTTAACAGTTTTTTAAAAAAATGAAGGTGAAGTCATAAGGGCAGGCATGTTAGTTTGACAGTATAACTCCCCCATGCCAAAGCCCCCATTAAATTGTGTAATATCCTAAAAAAGTAGAATACATTATCCCAAACTTGGTGGGGTTTTTTTTACATTTTTAGACGAGTTGTTGATAACAAATGTTTCCAAATAATAACTCTAAAATGCTTTTTCTCTTTTTCTGCAGTGAGGTGACAGTCAGTCTAACTTAAAGCATAGTAACTCAGCCCATTGAGAAAAATTTTCCCAAATAAATTTAGAAACACCAGGAACTGCAGGAGAGGTTGTTTGTATTTGGGAACTTTAGACACTGACTGCAGGGAAAGGTGTTCTTTATTTTAATGCTAGCTTGTTACTCTAATTCTAGGAAGTCATCTGAGAAGATTAATTTTGAGAAAGCATCAAGCTGCTTCTCAAAACAAAATACCTTCAAAACCAAAGTACCTTCACACATGAAAAAACTGAGGGAGGAATGTTTCAGGTAGGTAGTTTTTCATATAAACAACTGTAGAAAGATTCCCTTAGGGGACTGATTGAAGTCTACTCAACATTTTATTTGTAACACCAGAAACTCCTTAAGTTTATGTATGTGGTTATATGATCACTTAGCTTGTGAGAAAAAAATTGAAAAATTTTACATTAGTCATACAGAAAGCAGTTTTACAGTGTTGCTGGACAGGAAATTTTTTCAGATTAAAAAAGTACTACTAAGCAGAACTTGCAGGGACTTTCTAGACGAGTTATCTTGTGCTACCTTTTGTAATTTGATTGGAATTCAAAAACATGGCCAACTATTACACTTCACAGCAGCCACAGGAGCCTCGAGTGAGTGGTTGAGACAACTATAATTCTTGGTTTCCACTTAATGCCTGTGATTCCCGTTTTTTGGCTTAAAGTTGACTTGCAATGTTCTATCTAACTTCATATTATTTTATGTGTAATGGGAGGAGCCAGCTCAAGCATTAGCTTTAAGGTCATTAGAAACATAGGAGCAAAATGAACTTGGAAAGCAAAACAGCTGAAATGGTTCACAACTCTCAGCTATAAAAATCAGAGGCCTTAAAGAGGTGTTTTTCTGACCTCTGAAAGTATTAAAAAAAAAAAATCAATCTAGTTTAATCTAGTAATTTGAGACAAAAGCAAAACCACCAAGGAATGTCATCCAAGAAACAAGCGCGTTAACTTTCTGTTTCCTGGCACTGCCTTTTTACTTTATGGTCACAGCAGTAGAACATAACCCATGTACTATGCAAATTATTTTCTTAAATGTGCAGATACATCTGCTAAAGAGAAGGTGAGGATCTGTATTTAAGCACATCCCCTATGACAAATCTGTCCCAGAAGTCCTGATATGACAGTCCTCTGTATCAAAGACAAATATTTTGTCTAAAATTTCTTAATTCTTGTTCAATAAAGATGAAACTATTGATACTAAGACAAGAGACATTATGTTTAAAAAAAATTTTATTTTTCATTTACATCAAAAAATGTCATCTTTCCCTGTTAAAAAGTTTATACATCTTATACAAAAATGCAGTATAAATACCCCAGATTTTCTTCAATCTCATATAAAATTAGTACCATTTGAGAAAAATAGTCTCTTTCCACACTGAACAACTCCACATTTTAAATAACATAAATAAAAAGTATTTGTAACAAATTAAAAAAGACAGCTTTTGAACTTTCACAAAATAGCTTCTAGACAAATAAATAGGAAATAACACTGTGGAGACTTTTTTTTTTTTTTTTTAGAAAAAGCACAAAATAATTTGATCCTCAAGTTTCTCAGCTTATGCCAGTTCGTGTGTTTGTGTGTGTTTATCATGGTAAGGAATGAGATCATAAGCAGCCAAGCTGTCAGAGGTGCCCGATCCTCCGGTAGGAATCTGCATGCACTGCTCGCTGCTCCGGTAGCAAGGCCTAGAGAAAGAAGGGAAGTGGGATACTTCACCCTGATATCCAGATTTTCTTTTAAATAAGTATGTATACTTAAAGCAAATCACCAATACAAGCGAAGCAAGCAACACAAAACAAACAAAAACACACACACAAAATAAAACATGCAGAGTATCACACATTATATTTCTCTAAACACTAATATTAGCACTACACATATGCAATTGAGGAGATATTCAGGATGCATTTGCTAGATGCAAGGACTCTTCAGATGGCTCATCCATGTTTGAGGGATTTAGAAAGATCAGTGGCAGGGATTAACTGCAATTAGCAAAGCAGTTAAGTTTCTTAGAGGAAATTATCTCCACTATATGTATGTATCTTTCTATCTCACAGGTTGCCAAATAGCATTTGTGAAAAATGTAGTCCAACTGACCTCTTTTGTAAAGTTATTTGCATTTCTATTTTAAACCTAGCTGTAAATCTTTTCCTGAGACAGGCTGAACAAGCTGTTGGTCAGAGGCGATTTGAATTTTGAAATAAAGAGCTGAAGAAAGGAGAAGTTGAGCAACGCTAAGTACTCTGAACAAAAATACTCGTTAGCAGAAGTTCTAAGGGAATTTAGGAAAAAAAAAAAAAAAAAAAAGGGTCATTAACAGGCTCCCAAATCTAGTTACCGAGCAAGGAATATGAGAAAAGTGCAGCAATTGCTACCGTGCAGCAAGTAAGAACCACAGCACTAGACACAGCAGAAAGTAATTTGGAATTCAGAAGAGTCCAGACAGGTTAACACAGTAGAAGAAGCTCAGAGGTTTTATTTTAGTGAAATTTGAGCGTATGACAGTAGCCTTTGAAGGACAATAGCTCAAGACTGATCGTAAAATGAATGAGAACACAGACCGCCATAGCCTTGATCAAAAAGCAATGAAAACTGCAAAGCGTGATGAACACAAAATAATTCCAAAAAGGAAGGGGATAACTCTGGACACCTTATTACACAGGACAACCCAGGATCTAAGAAAGCTGCAAAGTGCAAAGCAGCAACAGCAGCAAAACTAGGGGATTAAATTTACACAGAAGGCATGGAGGTAACCTGACATTGTACTCACTGGTGAAAAGATGATGAAGAGGGATTAGGATGCAATTTTTCAAGATGCTAAAGGGGACATTAAAATGGACATAAACTCAACTAAATGTTAACCCTATAAATCAGGGAAGAAAAATGAACAAATGAAGAAAAAACATGAAGAAAAATCAACAGCGAGAATTAAAGCAAGATGTGCTTGCAGAAATGTCAAAGTTGAGACAAACTAAACCAAATTAGGCCTTGTTTGTAGTTGTAGAATGCATGTGCTTAATGATGATTTCAGAAAGTTATCTAGTAAAGCCCATGAAAAAAGCTGTAGGAGACACTATAAACCAGAATATCCATTCACTTTAAGCTAAAATTAAAAAAAAAAAAAAAATCAATAGAAAAAAATTAAAAGGATTAAGCGCATTAGTGCATTGACAGCAAATATTTGCAAAGCCTCCCTGAAAGTATTTTTAAATTCATGAAGCTTTCCAGAATAAAAGCTTTTACAGGAAACGTAGAAGTGATTTATCTGTAGAACTACAAGTTCCAGGATGTGACTAGTTTGCAAATTGTTTCTCAGGCTTTCAAAGGCAAAATTACGAAGTCATCACTCCTAATGCAATACACAGCACATTCATTTGCAGATGCTACTGCTGTAATATGGCTTTTATTGATTTCAAAATTAAACTGCAGTCTCTACTTTCCATTGTATGTGACCAAGTACATTAGTCTGTGGTAAATTTCCAGCTGAAAGGGAGACAACCTTGCAATTGCTTTATTTTTACTTATCCTATATTATTTGCTGTTAAGTTTTTGGTTGGTTTTTGTTTGTTTGTTCGGTTTTTTTTGGGGGGAGGGGGTGTGGTGGAAGAACTTTTTGATTTTGTGCCTTAAAAAAAAATATTCTTACTCCAAGTTTTGAAAACTTCTGAAATTCTTGCTGCATGTAGTCTCTCTCCATAATACCTTTTTTCCAGAACACTCTTAACATGTTCAGAGATATTTGTGCTCCAAGTCTTGGCTGTCTTATTATTTTTTTAAAATTATAACTGCAATCTAAGTTTAAAACAAAGGTCTTTGGTTTGTTTTTTTTTTTTTTTTCTGCTAACAAATTAATAACAGTGTTAGTATTTTATCTAAGTTATTTAGAACTTTATATTTTCTCATAAGATAAAGTTGTAATATTAAGACCTGTGGCCTAAGCCAAAGCTTTAGAGATTTGGTTACTTTTTGAAGAGAGTCATTTGGCAAGCCTAGTCCCCAAGATGCAAACTTGTCCACCTATTGTCTATAATTCAGTTTTAAAACCCAAAAGAACACTAAAAGTAACTCTGACTCTGCCCAATATGTACAATGGATGTAATCTTCCTTGAAATTAGATTGTTTTTCCTCAGAAATGCCAATATTGATGTTTCCGTACAATGGTAACAGTGTTCCCCAAACAACGTCTTGTCTTCTGGCCAAATAATGAAGATAGGCTGACCTTATAAAAAGGATAATTTTGTTTGTATTCTGCTCTACTACAGCTGAGAGAACTCCATGTGACAGCAACAGCCCAAACTAGTATTTTATGTGATGGGTATGTGCTGGTGCAATATGTGGTGTAGTTTTGGTTTTGTTTTTGTTTTTTGTTTGTTTGTTTGTTTTTTCCAATAATGGTTCCAGACGTGGATATTAGGTAAAGAAAACAAAACCAGAGAAAACCCCTATAAGCACTTACTGCATATTGATCAGGAAAAAAGCCAGTTGACTCTGGATGGGAGTGGTTTTTATTTCAAAAAGATTAAGAGGACTTCAGAATTAAGCTATGGCTCAAGCTAAATATACTAAATAACAAAGGTTTGGTCTGTACATATCTTTGATAGAATGAATTTTAATTTTAATTTTTGAACTGGCATAAACAGAGAACGGATCTCATCAGAATTGAAGAAACAAGAAAACAAACCAGATATCCTTTTAAAGTTGTAACTTGCAGAGTAACAAGAGCTTTACCTGTTGCATGTTTGTTTCAGAGGGTCTACTTTCAAGTTCTTCCTGAAGACGTTGACTCCTCCTCTCTGCTTGTAGTAGCTGGTGTTGGAGCTGCAGGAACTGTTCCTTGGGCACCATAGCACAGCCTTGCTGCTGGAGCTCCCGGGAGTGCGGTGATTTGCTAAGCATCACACTGGCGCTTGAGTGGAGCATCTGAAGAGTAAAGTCAGTCAGCCACCAGGAGAAAACGGCACTGCTGTTCAGGCAAGGTATCTTTCAGTGATGCACTAGGCATCAGGTTACTTTTGAACAACTTGTGCACCAGAGAAACAAGCCTGAACTCAGCAACAGAAGCTAAACAGACAACTTTTCTCTTTCCAGTGAATAAAAGATGCATCTTTCTGTGCAGGTCTGAAGCCTAAAGGAATTTTGATTCAAATTTCAGACTTGAATTATATATTAATTGAATTTCTTAAAGTTAAATGGGCCTGTGGTGAGCTTTAACTTAATAGTCCTTTTGAATTTTAACCTTGATCTCAGCAGCTCTTCTTAAAAAAATAGTATCCACTTACAAATAAAAGCACTAGCATGAGGCAGGCTGAAGTTGACTACCAGTGCTGATTATTTCTACTCTTTAGGATAGAGAGATAACATTCTCCACAACAATTTTTCAGTGTAATGATGACTTAAGTAATTTGATGCCAGCTGCTATATTACATTCAGAATTCAGTATTTGGAATCCCATATATCTTTCCTTATGTTCACTACTAACTGTAAAAGTTTTAACACATTTTATAATTTTCATTTCAAGATGTGCCATGAACATAGTTCGATAGCAAGTCTGGAGACCTCCTGAGTGTCTGTGCTGCATAAGCAAAAGTATACTCAGAAGGGCCCTTGAAATATGGATGCAGGTAATCTGAAGTAGTTTAATTCCAAATTTAAGTCTCGCTTGCATTAAATAAAGGTTACCAAATGCATCAGCAAGTCTATGTAATGTAAAGGTAGTATATACCAACAAATAGTGCATAATGGCTGTCCTCTGTGAAGCTGTACTACCAGAAAAATCGTAATTTGTAAAACTAAATGTCTCGTGGGACAAAAGGATTCCATTCCTAATAGTCCTTGCTACAGCCAAAAGAGCACCTCAGAACAGACTTGTCCCAAATGGTTTCACTTCTCCACATCATTTAATTAAGTGCTGCTCCCAAGCAATGCCATGACACTTACTGGATGAAGGTGGCTAGAAAAGAGGCATGTCTGGCATTGCCTTACTGCGCAGCATTGCAGCCCCCAGAGCTCAACTTAGATAATATTGTCTTGAAAGTTCATCTAATGCCAGCCTAGTTTAAGAGCCAAGATAGTCAGATGAAACAATTTAGCATTTTTCTAGACTAAAGTAAAATCCAGGTAATACTAGCTCACAGTTGTAATAGTTTATAACACTAAAAAAACCACAAAACCAGAGCTGTACTGTAAAACACCCTGATGTTTCAGACAAGCTGATTTGCAGCTTGAATTTTATGATTAATACTTTCTTCCCATAACGTTCAGCTGACCACATCAAAATTCTCACCTGTTATCTCAAAGCCATGACTGTTCCTTTAGGACAAGGCATATAATCTTGTGTTAGTGGTTTTAATTTTCCTTTCACAAGTGGTAGAATTATGGCCACAATTTGTAATCATATTTCAATTACTGAGTTAATTGATAACCATAAACAACTATATATAAGCATTTTTCATAATGGTGCAACTCTTCTGGCCATGTGAGCATCTGTACATCTCTGCTGGCCCAGGTAAACAGAAAATAGGTTTTTAAGTACTTGAAAATAAACTATTTGTATTTTTTTTAAGCTGTCAGGAGGTTTTCTTAAATTAATTTGTCTGTAAAGGAGCTGTTCTTTCACTGACAATATAAACTAATGAGCTTTTGATGGGATTTGTTTAGGGTTTCCTGCAATGTTGTGAAGCACACTGAAGAGCAGCTAATGAAAGAGCCCAAGAAACAGTCAATTAACAGTTAACTAACAGTTAACGGCATCTTAAATATAAATACCAATTGTGTGGCTAAAGAAAACAAGATAGTCTTGCCATATTCATCTGTGGAAAAAATGGAACAATAATGAACTTACTAAACAATTAGGGATGACACTGAGTGTGATCACATATCAGTTAGTAGCAAGGAAACATTTGACAATCTGGTGAAGCAGCATGCAGATGTCAAAGGTAAATATGCAAAACACCTTCAAGCCTCACAGTCAATGGGTTAGAAGGAAGGGGTTGAGCCACTTTTCATTTTCTTATGATCAGTTCAATTCTTTTGAATGCAATCGGTTATTTGTCTCAATTTTCATGGCAATGCTGTAGAAGTACACGGCTTCTCAGCGTACAAACTCCACGATACACTCACCACAAAAAAGTCAGTGCTGCTGTCAAAGTGAAATTTTACATTAAAATGAATAGTGGCTGCTTCACTTAAAAGATGCATGGAATAATAAAAAAAAAAAAAGAAATAAATGTTTTCTCCATGCTATGGTAGTACATTGAAAATGATTGCTCTACCTTCGCACACTATTTCAGAAAGAGAACTGCACCCTTCTCTGCTAGTTCCAACCACTGAGTTCTAGACAGGTTAGCCACGAACAAAAGGAGAACAGGCACAAAAGAGAAAGTTAGCAGTCATAAAGTGCTAAGTGAATGTTATACACACCTGCTGGAAAAATGTTATCAGGAATAACAAGAGTCCTGCATGTTTGAAATATAAATTTTAGGGGAAAATACAATTCCATGCTTGGTGTTTATACCAAAGGGTTTAACAGTGTTTGGAATTTTCCCAAAGCTTAATTAAGTCTATATAAATAAAAGCACAGGGCATATAAACAGTCTTTCAGTAACTTGTCAAAATCTCATATTTTCTAATCAATTTTTGACAGTTTTAGAGCTAATTACATAGTATATTCAGCATAACATGTTTCCCATTTGCTCTCTTGATGAAAACCATGAAATCTTTTAATAAACAGCGTTGCAAAAACATCATCTAGCAGATGCTTTGATTTATGGAACAAGCCAAATTGTGGGGTTTTTTTAAATATTTTTTCCATTACTTTTTATTTATTATTTTTTAAGTATTTAAATATTATGTTTTAAACTCAAATCCAGGACATCAAGGCAAGACTGCTGAGAGACAACTCAGAGGTCTAACCTGACCTTAAGGGATAGACTAACTTAACATAGTTAAGCTCGCCTGTTCCTGTAAGCAAAGACACTTAAGAACTACGCAGTTTCCATAACATCCAGCATGATCTGTCTCCGGCAGTACTGAACAAACATCCACATTTACAGCAGGCTCTGGAGGAATCTCAACTGAAGTTTTTACTCATGCCTTTAGATGAACAGCAAGTGGGGTAAGTTGTTATTCTATCACGATCTAGATAAGACAGCAAGGCTTAAATTCAGCAAGTTATTCCCATAGTAAATAAGAACAGGTTTCTACATTAAGAGAAGAATTATGCAAATATTAATTAGGAAACTTGAGGTTACATGTTTTAGGAAGGAAGAGGAAAGTGTTAGCCTTGCCTCAAGCACAGAAACAAATTTCTTTGCTATTTGATTTTATATCTGAAGCCTTACGTGAATTACGATAAACCACAACATGCTTCAGAGAAGCACATTTGTCACACTGACATCTTGATCATGAAAGATGAGACTAGGCATTAGGGGAGATTAATTCTTCTAGTTTCGATTAGTTTCCTCTGTTCCTACACATCTAGGAGTTGTTTTTAAATCAATTCATAGATTCAGTGAGATAGCGATAAAGCCCCACACTATTCAGTACAGTCAACACTGATTGAAAAGTACCTCCATTAACTGATCATCCAGTTTGACTTGCTTTTTCCTTAGCCCTTCATTTTCTGAGCTGGTTTCCAGTTCACGTTCAAGAGAATTCATCTGACTGATCTATTGAAGACAAGAAGTTTCTTTAGAAAGACAGTAGTTTCTTATTTTACCTGGGTTTCTTTCCCCAATGTACAGTGATTCATAACTTGCACATCAAGACAATTCAAGATTAAGAGACATAACTATTTGGACACTTTTCTGAAAGCCATGTCTAAGACAATATTATACAGTGTCTCAGCCAAGTTTCAAAGGCAGAGTAATGGATTTTTTTAATCCAAAAGTGGCAAGGCTAGCATACAAGCGCTGTGTATGTTCCACCACTGAACTGTTCGTACTGACTGGAAGTCTGGCAGCACATTGGCACTGACTTGCACCCCATGTGCTCTGCCGAAGCACAGGAGACACTCAGCTTCTTGGGACAGGGCTTTGTAAGGGACAAAGCCCATGAGGCTTAACGTAAAAGAAGAATACAGCTTACCACATTAGCTCTTATTGATGGGAACTAGTGCATCGAGTCACGTATTTACCATCTAAAACTAACCTTCCTGTTTGCAGATGACAACTCCTTCTGAAGCTGTTCACACTCTCTCTTCAGGCTTAGTTTCTCTTGCTCTATGGCTTTGACAATACCTGACTGGCTTTGATGCTTTTGGTGCTTTAGGGAAAGGATAGTAGATTCCAGCTGTCGAATCTAAAGAGACCAGAGATGAACAAATATGGAAGAACATTCCAGATCATTCAAAAATCAAATTTCACCTACTTAATCTAAAATACTGAGTACCAAACAATTTCGGACTTGTAGCAGCTTCTGTTGTGTTTCTGACATTTTAGCTTTAAGCACAAAAGGTCTTTCCCTTCCTCTTCCTCTATTTTCTGTTTTGTCCTATATTCTGCCTAATACTGTGAGCCAAGAAATTGGACGTGATAAATGCTCAGAACATTAAGTTTTTCTGAAAGAAAAAAATTGATGGGCGTTAACTGAAAGTCAGACCAGAATCTTAGACAAGAGCATCGGGATTTTCTTTTTTAAAAAAAAGAGCTGTCTGAAACATGAGTGGCTGCAAACTCAGTGCAGATCCAAAGGAAAACTAGTCCACTATGCACCCGTTCTACAAATGTTTCTGTTCAAAACTAATAAGCAACATTCCTCCTGCATTACCCACTGTGAAACAAGAATCATTACGTTTTGCCTAGCACGCAGGGACCGCCGCTGTGATCTGTCAGCTTGGTCAGATTACCTTCTCCCTGGAGTGAGTCAGGTCGGTTTTAGTGCTCTGCACTTCTCTCTGCAGCCTCTCATTTTCCTGCCTGAGCAGCTGCTGCTCCTGTTTCGTCAGCTGGTCCAGTTCATCCCAGTGTAGTTGCCTCTGTTGGTCCTGGAGCCCTGAGGAAGGCACAGCCAGTTCTAGAACCCGAGTCTTAAGACAGACAGAATTGCAGGGTTAGGCCTTAAACAAAGAAGCAGACATTTTCTCTGTTCAGGTGGGTTTTAAGTAGGTTTTCCATAACTGCCGACTCTAAAGTCACAGGATTCCCATCTTCCTCCCAACCCACACACTGTTTTCCTCTACCCAGCATGAAACCCAACATGCTAAACCCAACACACTGGGTGTTTGAAACCCAACATGCTAATCACAGTGCAAACCCAAAGTGCTTCCCTTTGCTAAAATCCTACATAATAGCTGTGCACCAGAATGGCTGATAGGAGTGCAGAGTTCAACAACACAAAGCAGCAATTTGTGCTCCATTTCAGACTCATCAAGCAAATAATAGAACTCAGTATTATATATTATTCAGTAATAGCTGTAATTTAGTTCCTGTTGTACAATTCTGAAACAGCCTCTTTTCCATGTGGACATTAAATATTCCTTAATTACATGGCAAACAAGCCAAATTACTAACTGAATTCATAATACCAATCCCAAGACTGCTGTCTACATCCTCCTTCAGTTACAGTTCCTCATTAGTTAAGATAAGCTGATATCACACTGTGCCTTTCAAAACCAAGTTTGACTGAAAATTAAATCCCCCTGTCAATGACTAGTTGGATTGTGAATATGTATGTAGTTTTGACAGGTGTAAATGCATCCACAGATTTTTTTTTTTTTTTTTGGCTAAAAGGTTTCTTTCAGGGAAGAGTAGATACTTTGGAGGATAGACTGATCATTGCCTGTTCTCATGTTCAAAACTTGTTATTTAAAAATTAAGTCTGCATGTTATATACAATTTGACAAGACTAAGGATAGTTAACTATTTTAAAATGGAAAACTATGAAATACAGAAAGCACCGTTAAAGTGGGGCTTTTTTTTGTACCCACCTCCTTTCATGTTTTGATTTTTGGTTTCTAAACAAATAATATAATTTCTTTAAAAAAACCCCAACCCATAGTTGTCTAACTCAGAGTCTCCTTGCTCAAACCCACAGTACTATTTGTGTCCTTTTAATGGACAAGCCAAGCTAAAGAACTGAGTTGGCTACAACACCAGGCTACAGAAGAGCAGCAGCTGGTGTCTCTAAACCCCAGCACACGAAGCTGACTGAGGCACTTGAGCTCTGTTACCTTTTCATTGGCGTTCTGCAGTTGCTTGTGTAAAGACATCACTTCTTGTTTAAGAGTTTCCTTCTCTTGTTGCGTCACCCGTAAGTCTGATTTTAGTCGGGACATTTGAAGGTTGGCATTTTGCAGTGTTTCATCGAGACTCTGAACCTGTAACAAGCAGGAACATAGCTTGGCATTTGCTGCATCAAGATTTCTTTAAGTTTGATCTGCTAGGATGTGTACATGCACCACATATGACATGTATTTAGGATGTCTGATGGAAGGAGTGAAGGAGTTAAAATAGACAGCCCTCTTTAAAACTGCTACATGATTTTCTGACTTTCTGTTCCAAATTAGCAGCCATCCACTTTGAACACAGCCACAAAACTGCATCAACAGAGACACATCTTCCAGCCCTGAATATTTATTGTGATATGCTGGGAAGAGAAAATTTCTCTTGAATTATTTATTCTTCCTGGCAGCCTGTGGCCAACAAGAAACCCCAAGTGTAATCAGCCAAGCAGATAGCCATTCACTCCCCTCCCCTGCCTAGTGAAAGATGAGCCACTGCCAGAAGAGCAGGGAGCAACAGCATTGTCTCTGCAATATTTTAGGAATAACTGGGCAGAATGAATTGGCAGAAGGAACCTGGCTGTAGATGCAAAACAACACAGTTTATTCTCAGGAAAAAAAAGTCCCTCATAGCATCTAACATGTTTCCTCTTGTCCTTTAAGAACGTTATTTGAAAGCCCATCAAAGCAGCCATTCTTAGCTGCATGACATCTTCACACACATAAGAGGGCTGCTTTTAATAAAAAAAGCACTACAAGAGATTAAAAAAGCTTTTGATCCAGGACTATAACAAGCCCCACTATTATACCTTTTCTTGTGAAACGGTGAGCTGTGTTTTCAGTGTCTGACTCTGCTGTTCCCAGGATTTCTGTTCCTGCTTCAAGCTGCCAATTGCATTCTCTAAGCAGCTTACTTTAGCTACCTGAAATAAGATTACATCGGTAAGCCTGACTCATTCAGGATTTTCCTTAACCCAATTTGACTTTGAGAGTTAAGCTAGAGGGAGTTACAGCTATGTAAAGAAAACGCAGGAGAGCGGAAAACCCCTTAGCTCCCAGCCTGAATCTCCACACAATAGGATCATTATTTATAGAGTGCATACTAGTTACACTGCTCGGGTCCAGAGTTACAATATGTTAAGAGTTGCACTAAGTGCAAGAACACTGTCTTCCTTGTCCTGCTGCAGTATTTATATCTAGCCTCTGTTCCTTACAAAGTTTGGAACTTTCTGCATAATCAAATTACACTAAACTTGTGCTTCAGAATTTAAGCTTTCTCTTTAAGACCAGCTAGGGAAAAAACCGCAGTGGCAACTAAGCCGTTATCTGGTTTGAAGGTAAGAAAAAAAAATCCAAAGTAGTTTTACAGATTAGGGCGATACAGATAATATAAGAATTTTACAAGCCCATTACAACATGTAGGTGGTAACGTGGATTTGCAGTTATTCCTTACCTTATCAATACACCTGTTTAATTCCTCACTCAGGGCTTCTTTTTCTTTCTGCAGTTTTTCATTTTTAGTAATTAGGCTTGAAACTTCAGTTTGAAGGTCAGAGAGATCAGGACATCTGGGCAGCTGTGGAAAACAAACCCCTCAGTTCTATTTCTGTGCCGTTTCTGAATTTTTGCATGCAAGTGTTAGACAAAGTTTTCCCTTCACTTCCGGGCCAAGCATCCCACTCTGGATCAAGTAGAAGAGAGGAACATACTGCAGTTTGATACAAATGACCATACAAATATCATTCATGTGATATGAGGCACCCTTCCTTCAACAGCAAGGCTAAGGTTTCCTAATTGTCCTGTGATCCCTTGGATTTGCTTTAGGGCTGGTCTTTCTCTGCCTCTTCTGTGACAGGGTTAAAAATGCTGCTGACTTCTGATCCTTTTCCCATTTGACACAGTACTTTAGCTTAGCACTCTGCCTTCTCCTCTGCTGTTGTCTTTGCTCACTCAATCTTCTGTCTTTAATTACACTCAAACCACAATCCACTCTTTACTGAATAGGCCGCATCTGCTTTTGCTTTTTAAGACCATTATCAATCCTAAGCATTGAGTGCTTTACACTGCAAAGAAAATTACTTTGTGGAGCTCTAATCAGGAGAGCTAACTCATTTGTAGCCTTCATTATCTATGTTTATTAGCATATATTTACAGCCAATTGAACCATGCTTATACAGGCAATAACCAGGCCCTCCAGGAAATTATTCTTGGAAGTTGTGAGAGGTCAAAGTCTCCACATGGGTTTAGCAATAGGAATTCTCTCCGAGAGGACATGCTGGAAGAGACCAGTCCTTAAATGGAGCTGTATGGGTATCACCAGTTACACAGGAAAATGTTCCCTTGCCTATCCCATCTGCACAAACTAGAAAAGCCCTGTCTAGTCCTTGATTAAAGCTTTAAATCTTTGTCTTCATTGTCAAAGTCTGTCTTTGTAGATCCACTGCTCTGGAAGACCTTTTCAAAAAAGCTAAGCAAAACCAACATTATTAGAACAATTGTGCATTGTACCCAGAGATTCTTTCAAGAGGATTTATATTCCCTTACAGTTAGGTCCTTTCTTTAAAAACAAACAAACAAACAAAACCAACCAAACCACAAAAAACTATCTCCAAGTTGAGCAAGAGAGCAGGGTACAAAGAGCCAGCATTATCTGATGGCATGTAATAGGATACCATACCTGTTTTGTTTTCTCGAGTTCCTGCTTGAGGATGTGGTTCTCCTGCTCCAATATATGAGCTTGAACCTTCATTTTTGACAGCTCCATCTCCAAGGAAGACACCATATTTGATGACTGCAAAAAAGAAAAGGCTCAGATTTCACCTGAGGAGACATGCAGGGCAACAAAGGTTAACCAGAGGATGGTGCAGCCAGTGATATGGATTAGAGCTGGGATGGCACTGGACTGAACAGGCATGCTGGCAAATGCATCACTAAGCTCCATTTTCAAGACAAACCTGCACACTACCTCCCAGCTTTTGGCTGCTGCCATGCTTTCCCTTCCACCCTCATCCATGTACGTTTATGCCTTGGGGAAGTTTAGCTTTGAAAGGCCACGCACAGCTCGAGAAAGGGATGCTAATTCCACAGCAGCTGTGCAGTCCTAAAAATTCAATTGTTTTATACCACAAGAGACAGTGTAATCCTGTACCTTTACTTGGGTGTTTTCCAGTTCCTCTTTCAGTACCAGTCTCTCCTTTTCCCATTCCTCCAGGGTACATTTTCCTGCTTCCCTTTCCTTTTGCTTGAGCACCCTTGCCAGCTGTTGATTAAGATCCTGCACATCTGCTTGATTTTTGGAGTTCCTCTGGCTAAGCTCTGTATTTTCAGAGTCCAGCTGCTGGTTCCTTGTCTTCAGATCTGCTACCTGAATTGGGACAGCAGTGTCAGTTATGACTATTTCCACAGTGGGGAGTAGATTTTAAAAGTATTTCCTTTCTATTTAGATGATCAAAAAGCTGACAAGTGTCACTCCAATTCAATGGCTCAGCCAAGACAACAGAATCACAAAATGGTGACTCAGAGCAGTGGGATATGGCAGTTAACTGTACTCTGTAAAAAAGTCATGACCCCCATAGCACTTTATTTCCTTAAAGCATATTTAACATGTTCCATGCCTTCACTTTAAGGCAAAATCGACTGTAAGAGTAGGAATCCTCCTGATGGCCTGTTGTGTGCATGGTCAGCCTCACAAACTTAATTTCTCATCATTGGCCTTAATCATATCAATTATAATATCAGTCATCTGGCACACCACTCTGTTCCTCCTTCCCTTTGCCATGCTGATGTATATTTTGAGGGTTATGCTGGTGAGCTAGTAGATTATTCTGAGCAAGCAGAAATTTTACCAAGCAATACTAAGAGGGACACGAACATAAGAGCTACTTAAACCTTCTATTTTGCCTAGTGTAACAAACCACCCTTAAAATAAAAGTAGCAGTCTCATGGATATAAGCAAAGGGTCACAGCTGGCGGCATTCCTAGACCCAGCTAGCTGGGAAGTAAGTAAAGGCTGAGTCACATAACCTCTGTTTCCCATGGGCTACTGCAGAGCATTACCCACAAAGACTACAAAAGAAAGATTAACTTTATATTTCTATTAAATAAACTTTCCAAATTGACTACGGAAAGTGTTCTCAGGTCAGATAATTACATTAATATTGTGACTGTCATCTGATCAGGTCAAACAAGCCTCATATTGGTCCCCAAAAGTTAAAGGAAAACAATTATCAAAAAGTTTAAATGTATATAATGGATAATGGTAATTTTCTACTGCCTCTGTGAACATCTAAGGCATAGGTTTTATACAGCGATCATTTCTACAGAGAAGGTTATAGCCTCGGTCCATATACCTGCTTTTTCAAGTTGTCAACCATCTTCTGTACAGCCACTTTCTCCTTTCTCACAGCCTCTATCTTTTGCCTAAGGAAAAATGAAAGCTCGTTAACATTAGGGTCACTTCTTAATATACAGGCCTACAAGAATGGGCTGGTTTTTCACATCACCAGAAAGGGTAATTCTTAATTTATATATTGCTTAGCATCACTGTTTTGCACAGCCTCGACAAGTGCTCAATTCCTCAGGGTACCCATGTAGATCTTTCCTGAAAGGGAAGAATACTCCCAGCATCATGGATGGTTATCTACTTGCAAAAGACCAAACCACTGAAATACTCTGTCACACTGTACCTCTTCCTGACTTTTTTAAGGCTACACCAGCCCAACAAGCTCTACCTTTGCTGAAGCAAGAAGAATTGCCTTCGGTCAGCTCATAAGTAGGTCCTGTGTTTGTATGTGTTACTGGGTCATCTGAACATCTACAGTTAAGCCACTGCTTTGGCTCTAGGAACAGGCAGGACAAGCTTGGGCAGATGAACAGGATGAGGAATAGACTGTCAGCCAGCTGGATTTCCCCAGGGCACCGTGAAATAAGATAATTTCAAAATTTGTAGAATATCTAACACGTGAGGGAGCTTTGAGAGAAGGGATGTAACCATTGTGTCTGCACCGCAGCGAGAGCCTGAAGGTATATATGTGGTACATGCCCCACTGAATTCTTACCGCATTTCTTCTCGGGATCCATTTAGCTCCCTCAGTTTCAGGCTGGAAGCGCTACCTTCCTCATTTAATAAAGTCACTTCGTTCTTCAGAACAGCATTTTCTTCTCTGAGCTTCTCCGCTTCACATCTGTGACAGATGAGACAAGTGAAAACTGTTTCTGTATATTGTCCAGCCCCACAGGGAGAAAAATTACTAAAAGCCTAAGCTCCCTGTAATATTTCAAAACAAAGCTACAATTGACTTATTTTATGTATGAATGGTATATGGATTTCACATTTCATTTACTAAGAGTGCTCCCCAGAGAGCCAAAAAAGGGGCTTTTTGTGTGTGTTTTCATACAGCTAAAGTTATTTAAAATCTAAGATACCTAATAAAAGTTTCACACTATACCTTTCAGTCCTTAAGTTACAAATAACATAACTTTAAACAGCTTGACACTACAATGTGCAGATTGCTAGGAGAGCGAGCTGTGTCCCCAACTGTTTCTAGAGTCTGTATGCTGGAAACAGCAGCACTGGAAAGTGCCTTTTCTGTCCCGAGGCAACTAAAGAAATAACTTAGCCATGGTGTAATACCTGAAAGAACAATTTCCTGCAGGAAGCTGGTGCCGAACAATAATTAAGCCAGCTGTAGCTACTTTATGGCCTTCAAAAAAAATCCTTGCTGAAATACAGCAGTTAAAAACGTGTAGGTAAAATCTATTCTATTCTCTGAGTTATAATGGTATTTACCATATCACACACCTGTTGGATTCCTAACACTAAGTGCTCCTGCTGGGAAAAAAATTACCATAATTCTCTAGCATTAACTTAAACATTGAGGAAAATAAAAGCACTTTTAGCATTCCAAGTAACATTCAGTACTAGAAGGGAGCAAACTAAGTGAAGGGAGTGATATTAGTAAAAGCTAAAAGCATTCTGGAAGTGTTACCATAGTATTCTGGACATAAAAATACAGGAGTTTCTGATGTGCCATAAACTACACACTGCAAAGGTGACTACATCCACAGACAGAACAGCTGGCAGGTTGCTCCTGTTTTACCACTCATGTTAGGTCATGGTCAGAGAGGAGTAAGTCACACACATTGATTTCAACCGTCGTTATCCACGATTAAACAGCCTGCTGGCTAGTAGTTAGAGTCCAAGGCACTGGTTTCTAACCAAAGTTAAACTACAGTGGTTAATGCAGCAAACATACGGCAGGCAGGCGGCTACGAAGCGATGAGTGGGATGCTAGGTTAGTTTCTAAGAGGCACGTTTGATTACTGTGGGGCCAGCACATTTCTCACAAGTTTTGCAAGTGTACGTTACCTCAGGAGATCAACTTTTTGCTGCAGCTCAGTGCACGTGCTTTGTAAGCCCTGCGTCACTGTTTTCCTCTCCTCTCTCTCTTCGTGGGAATGTATGTTGGTTGGGCTAGCCAGAGCAGCAGCTTTCTCCTTCAGCTTTCTATTGGGCTCCTGCAGCTCCCTCTTTTCCAACATTTCTTTCACCAGGCTGTCACTTGGTACACGCTTGTCTTGCTGACCTGTAAATGCAGTGGCATGTTCTTCCAGCTTCCCAAGCTGGCATTGCAGCCTTAACTGGTTACTGTGTGCATCTATGTTCCCTTGTGCTTCTTGTTCTTGGACGTCTTCCAATTCTTTAACTTTTTGGAGGAATGTGTTTTCCTCTCTGAGCTTAATACTTTCCAGTTGGCTTCCTTCTAGCTCGCAGTGAAGGCTTCTCAGCTTATGCAGGTTGTCTTCTAGCACTTTATTTTTTTCAACTAACTTTATCATTTCAGATTTCAGATCCTCATTTTCTACCTGAATTTCTTCTTGTAGTGACAGAAGTTTAGCCTGTGCCATCAATCTGTCTTCTAACTCTGTGACCCTTTTCCAAAGCTGAGCTATTACGCTTTTCAGGTCACCGTTTTTTGACCCAGGAGCATGATCAAGCAGGAGAGAGGCTTCACTCAGTTCTTCAGCCTTTTCAAGCTCAACCTGCAGCTTCAAAGCATCAGAAACAAACCCTTTAGTTTTGGGAGCTATTCTGTGATTTAGCAGATGAACTTTCTGCTGTTTAACATCATTGTGTAACATTTTTAGTCTGGGAACTCTCTCAAGAGTTTTCTCGAGGTCTCTCCTTTTTTGCAGCAGAGGCACTCGAGAAAGCTCTCGATTCTTATCACAATCCCGACTGCCATCAGCTTCCAGTGCTGCTTTACTTCCTTGTGTCTGACACACCTGCATCTCGAGTGCATGGCCACCTGCTCTGGCTTTAACACATGCTTCCTCCAAATCTGAATCAACCTCACTCGTTTCTTCCAGGTCTGTAGTATCAGCCTCCAAAAGCGCAAGGACATTTGAATCTCTTCCCTTGTCTGCATCTTCACAGTCACTGGGGAACCCTTCAAAAATGGGATCCATTTCATCTGGCAGCTGAGATGGGGCTGAGCCAGAGTCGGAGCAGCCAGGACTGGGAGGCTGCACGGGCTCCCGCTCTGCAGCTTTCAACCTGTGCTGCAGCCTGGCGATCTCAGCGGCCATTCTGACATTTTCCTTCACAGCTTGCTCGTGCACTTTCTGCAGATTTAAGAGGACATCTGCATCATCTCCCAGAGGTGCCATACCAGAGAAAGAAGCAATTTTGCTCTTTGCTTTGGCATACTCATTTTCCAGGACCCTATAATGATTCTGTAGTGCAGAAAAACTATGGGTCTCCCACTGCAATTTCTGTATTTTCCCTTGAAGGTCTGAGATTTCCAAACTCATCTCAGCCTTTTCTGTTTCTGCTCTTACACAAATGTCTTTGTTTAAACTCTCCAAAGTAAGAAGTTTGGAATTGAGATCTTCTTTCTCCTGCTTATATTCACTATCAAGCCTCTCCAGCTTTTGCCTAACCAGCTTCCCATTTTCCTCCACCACAGATATACGTTCTTCTTTGTTCTTTAGCTCTCTCTCATGGTCATTTTGGAGTTGTATTATTTTATCATTCAGCTTTTTCTCCTGCTTCTCAGCAGCATTCCTCAGGTCTCTCAGCTCCTTCTGAAGCTGCTCTCTCTCGCACACAAGCTTGTTCACTTCTTCCTTGAAGTTTTTCTCCAGGAGATCTTTCTCCTGGGTTAGGGCAGAAGAAACTGCTTTTTCATTTGCTAGACTTTCCTTCAGTCGCTCGTGGGCTTCAGCAACCTCCTGAGCAATTTCATCCTTTTCGAACTCCCACTGAGATTTCTCCTCTCTTTGCTGTTCAGCAAGTTCATGCAGCTCTCGCTGGTAACGTCCTTCCAGATTTTGGATTGTTTCTTCATATTTATTCACAAGTATTTGTGTGTCGACAGAAAACTGAGTTTCTGCATGAGATGCTCTTCTGTTATAGTCACTTTCCATTTTTTTCCTAAACATGGTTAACATAATATATTACTAAAGTCTGGGCTAACTCAAAGAGATTCAAATGGCTTTTTAGGCTGAATAAAACAAGCTGAAAAATTAGTTTTTCATTGAGTGTTAGATTTGACAGGTGTTTCCAAGAGCCAAAGTTAAATTTGAGGCAATTTGTTGAAACTTCAAAAATAAAAATCTAATTGCCTTGGAAAAAGTATAACTCATGAAACATCCTCAGGAAAGGCTTCATGTACAATATATGCTCTTCTATACTTGTGATCAGATTTGTGGGGGCAGATGTTCTTACCCTCATCTCTCCCTGTCACCCCAGGATGGTTTCAGTTTCTTTTGACACTTGATCTTGGCTAAAAGCATTTACCATCCATCCCTTTCCTTCTTCAGAAAAGTAGCCTGAAAACCCAAATGCTTTAAAAGAACAAAGCAGGGATTTGTAAAGCACAGGGATCCTGAACAGAGCTCAAATTAATCGTGTCTGGTTATGCTTTAACACTATTGTTGCCTCTGGGTGAGCTAAAAATCAATAAAAATATCTGCTTGAGAAAGATCAGAAGAAAAAGCCCCAGAATAGCAGCCCAGTGTTGTGGAATAAACCAGGTAACAGCACTGTAGAGTTAGTGCACTTTAATTATGCATTGGGAATCATTTTGGCACTAGGTTCACTTTGATCACCACACCAAGCCATCAGGGTCAGTGCATACCCCTTCTGCCCCCGCAAGCGGTGACACTCACCTCTCCTCCTCCAGGTCCTGCTCGTGCTTCCTCAGCAGCTCTTGCTGGAGCTCTTCTTTCTCCAGGGCATGCACCTCTGCCATCCTTTTCAGCTGCTCATGAAGGCCACGTTCCAGCTCTCCCTTCTCTTCCTGCAGGGTCTGCACTAAAACTCTCATTTTTTCTTCCACCCAGACACCATTTTGAATCAGTTCTTCCCGTTCTTGACTGAACTTCTTGTTTACCTGCTCCAGTCTGGCTCTTACGTCTTCTTCATGCTCCTGCCTCAATAGTTCTTGCAGATTGGCTTTTTCCTCATCGAAACGCATCTGTAATTTGTTTTTCTCATCATTGTATTTACAGTCAAGCTTTTCTTGCTGTTCTCTGAGCACTGCTGCCTCTCCTTGCAGTTCTGCAATTTGACTTTTAAGGCCAGTTATTTGCTTTTCCATGACATGCATCTCTTCAGTGTACTTCTTCCTCATATCCTCTTGTTCCTTTTCACAGTGGATTTTTGTCTCATCTAGCTGCTTTTCATAATGGCTCACCTACAAAAAGAAAAAACAGATTAGAATGGTTCATTTTCTACAGAGACGTTTTCTCAGCATTTCTGTATTATTTATTTCCATATATTCTGCAGAATATTTTGATTTCCACATTAGCATCTTATATTGATTTCCCCTGCAAGGAATGCTAAAGTGTTCAGCTTAATTTCCAACTGGGATAAAGATTATTATTATGCAGAAGCCAGAGGAATTAATGCTTTTCCATTAAGACAATTTGTGAAAAGCAAAGCCACTAACAACTTTTAAGTCCCAAGTCAGTTTTGCAAATTACATGTGGGCTCTTTTGTTTCACTGCTTACTTTTTCAAAATCTTCCCCAAAGAGGCAGATGAGGCCTTTCCCTTTAAAAAGGTTGTGGGAGATTTTTGTTTGTTTGCTTGATTGTTGGGTTGTTTTGTTTTTTTACATGTGACATTGTGTCACTTAAGGAAAAAGTAATGATTTGGGGGTTAATATTTTATCAGTCCCCTTTTCCCACTCTTATCCCAGCTTTGTCACAATACTGTTTCAGCATACCTGTGTTATGTCATATGTGAAGCAAATAGATTATAGTTCTGGATGATAATTATACAGCCACCCCTCATCTGGAGGTGGGCACTGGGCTGACAGTTGCAGTAGAAAGTGGAAGCCTGGCCTGGCCAGCTCCACCCCAGTGCACCTCACCTGCAGAGCGAGGTACAGTGGGTTTGGCTTGGCAACACTGTGCCCCTGACACGGACACTAGCGTGGGCTGGCCGTGGGAACTCATGGAGATATTTTCTGCACGTGGAGATATTTCTGCACATGTGGCAAGATTAATCTGCAGATGGACACCCTGAAAACGGAGAGCTGACTGCCCATTTTCAGTGGCACAGATATCATAACAGCAGACTTTCCATACTCCCACAGCACAGATTGTGTTTCAGCACCACCAGACCTCACAAGCATAGCATTTAGCACTGCAGACTCCTGCCAGCAGCCTTCCTACCCCACAATTATCCCATGCCAGCGGGTATGAAGTGGCTAATTCAGATGCAGCAGGCTCTCAAGACAGGAGATGTAATACTGCCTCGGAAAGGCTCGCTGGTCTCTCTTAGCTGTGGGGCAGCATGAGAATCTACTGCAGTGTTCATTCAGCCCTCTCCATCGCACAGCAACATGCAGAAGGAGCAGGGAAGGTAGATGGCTCAGATTCACAGAAAGTTTATAATTTGACCAGGAATTAAAAGTTCTTCAAGACCATTCCACCTCTATGAAGAGGCTGGCAAAGTTGTAAAGTTTCATTTTAAGTTAAAATAACTTACTGTGTCTTCAAGCTCCTGTTTGAGGTGATGTAGATCCCTGTGATGCTGCTCCTTCATTTGTTCAATAGCCATTTCTGCCTCTATGCTCATATTTAATGGGTTGCAATCTTCTGAACCAAGTCCTGTAAAAATAGTAATTATATACATATTCCTGAAGCCCAAAGAGATACATTCTCAACAGAATTATTTCATCAATTTAAATTTGTTTAGGCAGCTACTTGCAGCTCTCAAATTCAGCATCACACACAGAGACAAGAAACTGCAAACATGAATTTCAGCTTTGAATGTAGCACAGCAGCCATATTCCACAATGTTAAATAGCAAAATGGAGGTTGGTGGTTGAGTCTTGCTGGGATAGTTTGGGAGAGTTTTTGCATAATCGCCTATAAGATGTTATGATAAATACCTACAGCACAGAAGTTGGTCATACAGGAGATGAACTTTACCTTGGTCAGGCTCAATTCCACTATTGCCATGACTTTTCATATCAATGTCAAACTCTTCTGACAGTGAATTTTTCAGTGAAGGCCTGAGCACTTTGCCTTGTGCACGGTACTCCTCCAGCTCCGAGTGCAGCTCATCTATCTGGTCTTGCAGCTCCTGAAAGTGCAGGACAGAGATGCCTGAGTGAAAGCAGCCAAGGCAGCGGAGCATCTGTGTATCACCACACTCCCACCATGAGACATTGAGGAGGGAATTACAGTAGGTAAAGACTTGTCAATAATCCTACCATCATGCCACAATTAGTCAGCCTCCTATTAGCAAATCAACACCCTTCTCCAGGTTCCAACCTGTGCAAGTGACAGAGGTGTTTCTTTCTAAAAGAGCAGAAGTTTCTTGAGAGCCTGTGTATATTCTACATCTAAAGTATATTGTGCCCTAGGACTTTCCACTTTATTCTTTCTTCCTACAAGCTTTTTTTAAACAGCAGCTTAGGAACATTTTCAAACAGTTGAGAAATACTTCTTCAAACACCATCTACTTGCAGAATTGAATCAGAAGCAAAAGATCAAATTAGGAAGGAGATACACTCATTACAGGATTTACCATCTGGTACTTCTGCCCACTTGCCAGAGGAATATCCCGAGTGTTTGTGCCAAATGTCACGCACTCAGCTCAGTGAACAGCGTTTATTGGGGAAAATTAATCCCTGAATGTGTAAACACACAATTCTACAGATCTGGAAGGTTCAGAGAGTGAACAGATTCATATCTGCCAGTACTCAAAAAAAAAAAAAAAAGAAAATCAACTGCTTATTCAAGCAACATCTTATGAAGAAGTATCAATTAATAAATATTTCTAAACATCTTTGCGTTTAAACTGCAATTTAAGAGACTTAGTGTGCTGTTTCAGATCAGACAGCCTTTTGCCAAGGTAGTCTGTTATTGAATGAAAAGAATCATGCAGAACAGATGAGCTGTAACCATCATAGTCATCACAAAATAGATATGTAAATATATATTTGCAGGCCCACCTTGAAGTATTTCAGCCATACAAGATTTGGGGAGGAGAAGACAAGCTTCACATTTTCAGTTTCATTTTAAGGAAATGCTACTGTTTTGGAAACCACCAAGACTCAGATATATCTTATTTCTCTGTAAGTTCCTTCAATTCTCAATTCAAGTTAGGGCAAACTATTTCATAAATCAAAAAAATGCTAGCGCACAACTGCACGTGATGTAGAGCTCGGGAACAAAGGAGGCTCCACAGACCCAAGCCCAGCTCACCCTTGGGGCACCTCACCCTCTTAGCTCGGCCAGCTACTTGTGCTGCAAGAGCTTGGATTAATGTGAAAAAGCCATTATGTAGGAAAAAACCCAGCAGCATTCCATTGCTGCTCTGCGCTGCTGGTTGCAGTGCTGTTCCGGGTGAGTGGGGGCAGACAGGTGCCAGCTCTCCACTTACTCTGCACTGCCGCTCGTACTCGCTTCTCATCTGTGCCAGTCTCTCCTCCTGCAGGAAAAACTCCGCGCTGCTGGGATCCAGGTCACCAAACTGAAATGGCATGAATGGGATCCAGTTACTCTTCCACCAAGCAGCCCTGCTCATCACAGCCTGGGTGCCTTTCACAAGCAGTCCTGCAGCCCGCACCCCCTCCCCTCTTTTTTTTTTTTTAATGTTCTTTTAAATACAGAAGCTCTGCTTCCCTGCTGGTAGGGGATGATGAGCAACCTCCTTAAATACTAGCTGCTATCTCACCATAGCTCTCATCTTCACTTTGCTTGCAGATCACAGCTTTCTAGCTTAGCATATGCACATCTCCATTTGATAAATAACCCCATCTTAAAAAAATTCTGGAAAATGGATGCTGGGTGAGAATCCTATTATGACAGCCTTTGTCTATAGATGCACACACACTGAAATGCTTTTGGAGACGCTGATACTCTGATGAGTTTATTGTAATACAACCATAATCACCTCGATTTTCACTTAAGTTTAGCGGAGATGCCACGTAACACCTCAACACCTCGTGTATCATCTTCCCTAGAAAGGACCTGCACGTTGAGTCTAGCCAAAATTATGTGCTGGGGAAAAAAAAAAAAATCCCTGCAGATCTGCTGGATGATTGCTTCACTGTAAGGCTCCCTGCTGTTGATTGGTATAAAACTACAGCTAAGGTGTAGTATCTTTAATTTCCTTTACTGGAAGTCAGTCAGGCAGTCCATGTCAACAAAGGAGGCCATGCCTTGGTCACATCTGGACAGGGACCCCAAGAGCCTCTAGATATTAGTTAAATTGGCAGCTTGCGTGTAGTAACTGAAAAGCAATTTAATTCTGGATGCATACAGGGAAGAGGAGGATTTACCTTCTCAGCCAAGACGTTTTCCAAGTTCCTCTGCAGTTTGCTGGCCAAACTTTCATACTCAGCCAGTTTTTCTCCTGTTTCCAATAGCTCGCTTTCCAGGCGGCTGTTTTCCTGGAGCAAAAAAAACCACCCCCAAGAGCCTCAGCATTTAGAGAGAAAGAAAACATTAGCATGTGGTGACTCAGAAAAGTCATCTCCCAGTCAAGTCAGAGCATGACACTGCTACAAGCTTCAGCGGAAAATAAGAATTGTGAATCCATGCACACACAACCCCTCTTGCCACAGCAAAACAGCAAGTGTGAACAAACCCTCTGCTGCTCCTCTCACCCTGCAGGTCACTGCTTTGAGAGCAGTATTTTACAATTTTCCTGATGCTCACAGGACAGCCACCCCCTTCAAAAGCTGCTCGCCCAAACATCTGTAAGGGTGTATTAGCTCTCTCTGACTCTCAGCACTTTTGATGTCATTTGTAAGATAACACCATTACCTTTTTTTTTTTTTTAAACTGAGCAAAAGTTAATTATATAGTAAGGCAGCGGTCAGATAAAGCATTGTGTCTTAAGTGTTTTCTGAAAAAAAAAAATAGGAAAGGGATGTGAATCTGGAGTCATGGGTGAGCGATACCATTGCATTAGGCAATAGATAAGTTGTCAAAAGGCATAACAGCAAGCTTGCTTTAGAGGGGGTTTTTTGTTTGTTTTTAAAGCAATATTTTAAACTTTGTCAAGACATTATCTCCTGGCTGGACAGCCAAGCAGCGAGCAAGGCAGCCAGCCCATCTGATAGCTGTACAAATGCACACTCTACACTTGATGGCAGCAGAGATTTGAACTGGAGCCTTATGAATCCAAGGAATAACCTATCAAGGTGACCCAAAAAACAATTATCAGGGATATGCCTCTATCTTACTGCTGAAATTACTTTCAGTTAGCTCAACACACCCCGTAACACATCCTCTCAACAAGGACTATGCTGCAAGCCTCGCTCCCCACTTCTGGACATCCTTGCCTTTTGGGAGAAACACACGGCTGCATTTAGTCCCCGTTACCTTCAGGGAAAGGGCCAGGCGGTCCCGGATGTAGTTCTCATCAGTTTTCAGCTTTTCTATCTCCTGCTCCAGCTCCAGCCGCTGTTTATTAGCCTGCTGCAGGATTTGCTCCCGCTCTCGCCGGAGCTCATTCTTTAGAGCAGCAATTCGTTCCTTGTACTCCTCGTCCAGCTTCCTATGAAGGCAACAGAGATAAGAAGAGCTCATAAGAAGCAGCAGTGGCAAATACTGCTGAGAGTGAAACACAGTGGTAATCAGCAGGCACTAGGCCACTACCCCCATCACCGAGTCCCTCCAACGCTGCAGCAGCGACACTGAAGAGGAGGGGAGGAGCGAACCGTGAGGCCCTACCTGAGGTTGTACTCATTCCGGCGCTCAATGGCGGCGTGGTGGTCATCCACTTCGGAGGCCATCAGGGATTTCAGCTTTTCAGCTTTTTCCAAGTCTGACCGCAGCTTCTCTTTCTCTCTGGCTACTTGGTCAACCCTCTCCCTAGGGTAAACACAGCCAGCCTGGATTAGGTCACCCCTCATAGCTCCCCCAAAGGTGGTACTTGCGAGAGGCTCATCAGAGAAGAGCAGCTCAGAAAGCTCTGCAAGGGTCTTGACTGCATTTAGTCATGAGATATGAACTTGCACACATAGCTCTGGCCATGTCTTGATATCCCCACAGGTCCTCAGACCTCAACATGAACTCCTCAGCTGTGGTCTAGTCCCCTGAATTGCAGCACTATGCCATTTTGCCAGGCCACTTTCTGCCCCATTTACTTGTTCTTGTAATTTTATTACCTTTACCACTTCATCCTTACGCTACACCTAATCTGGTTTTGATCACAAGTTTGTAAGATCTGCTACACTGAGCAGCTTTCTTGACGGGAGCTTGACAACTGATCTCTCCACTGAGTGAATGTAAAAAGTTATTTTGACTTGTCGATGCAAACACACAGTGGGAAGCCTCATTTTGTGAGGTTTCATACAATTAAAACAGGCAGCTTGCAAGCACAAGTGGTAAGCCAACAGGTAACAGGACATGTGCAGTCTTAACGACCAGCAAGAGTCATCTGTGGTATTGCATGGAGGTAGAGGCATGAGCTGATAAATATTTAAACTATTCAAAGATTTACAGTACAAAAAAAACACCACTAACAACCGGAGCTTGCGCCCATGGCAGATGGATACAACAGTTACACAACAGGAAGGACTCAATGCAAAACAGGGTGTAATGCTTAGAGCAGGGGTCTCCAAAGTGAGGTGGGCAAGATAACCCACTGGTCTGTGGGAAGAAATAGTTGAGCTTCAGCTGTATATAATTTATAAACTGATATACTTGCATCCAGTGAAATGTTTCTTCTCTCCTACACTCTCTCAGAGAAGCCTACATGGCAACTCCAGCACTAAGTCAAACTGTGTTGACTTTCAAATGAAAAAAAGTGGGGGTGCGTGATGGTTTTGTACCTCACCCACACCTCTACCCCAAGGCAAAACCTACGTAACACTACTGCAAGAAATCAGTTAGGATTAAAGTACTGCTTATCAGACTGCATCAGCCTCTGTCTTGAGGTTTGCATTCCTTGGCCATCAGTGACCACTGCAGATTCTAGTGACCATTTCCAGACTGCAGAGTAGGGCTGGGAACAGCCTGCTGCTTTGATATTTTTTTTTAAGTATATTTTTCTGCAATATGTAGGTTTGAGTGTTTTTTCCATGCAAAACAGGATTGTTGAAAGTTTCCAACCAAGCTCACAGAGAACCTAGCCTTCCAGTGAAATGGCAGCACCATGCCGATGCCCCTCGGAGAAGTGCTATGAACCACCATTAATCAGCTGCTAATTAAACTGCTGCTTGGCCAAACGCAGAGGACTGCAAGGAGAGGCAGAGCCAGCGATCCTGGTGACTTACAGCAAGTGTCTGATCTCCATTTTGAAACTCGCCAGGGCTGCCTGGTGGACTCCGTTCTTGGTTATTAAAAGCTCGTTTTCTAGTGCCAGTGTCAGCTCTGTCAAGTTCACCTTCCCATCCAAGCTGAAATCCAAAGCCTGCAAAACGACACATGGTTAGAGCAGAACGAGCCTCCCTGCCCCACAGCAGCCTGCAGACATCTGTACATGAAGTGATAGAATAAAATGAAGGCTCAGAAAAGATCTTTGCTTGCTGATTAATCTGTCGCAAATGCCTTTGGGGCAATAAACCAGATCTCTGTCACCTTCCTGCGTTAAAGAGCTGCTGCCAGCTGTGTAGATGGAAAGTGTCCTGGTTGTGCTGCAAGACCAACAGGAAATTAAGCCCCTGTCTGATTAAAAGTACCAGTTCTCTAGAGGTCTCAACTACGCTGGCCATTTTACATATTATTGTAGAATTATAGAATGGTTGTGTTGAAAGAGGCCTTAAAGATCATCTACTTCCAACCCAATACTCAAAAGCTGCAAGAAACCGGTTGAAGATATTCATGTTAATTTAAAAAGGCCATTGAACGACTGGAGCGTGTCCAGAGAAGGGCAACGGAGCTGGGGCAGGGTCTGGAGCACAGGTCTGCTGGGGAGCGGCTGGGGGAACTGGGGGGGTTCAGTCTGGAGAAGAAGAGGCTGAGGGGAGACCTCCTGGCCCTCGGCAACTCCCTGCCAGGAGGGGGCAGAGAGG